AATTCCGCAAGAAATTCCTGTCATTCCATTCCAAGGAAGTAAAGACTTACTGTGCCAGGGAGGATCGACTGGTAAGTTGCCACTGATGCTAATTCCCATTTGCTGTTGGTTATTACTGAAAATAAACCACAATTCTGTTTGCTTCTGAAAGTTTATGCATCTATAATTTGTAGTAGAACAGCGGTATGGTTATAGTTGATTTAAAAATATTTATGCGGGCTTTGAATCGTTGTTACGTTTAAAAGTATACAATACACACACACACACACACACACACACACACACACACACACACACACACACACACACACACACACACACACACACTCACACACACATCGGAGCTTCGAAACCACGACCTGCAAAGAGTAATACTAGAGCTCTACCGACCAGGCTACGAACACCCACAATAAGAGAGGGTCCGAGTTTTCCGCTTCGGTAGTATTCAGTGTGTGTGTGTGTGTGTGTGTATTCACATGTGCATTCACATGTGTGAATACCTATGTAAATTCAGCTTTACACACTGATTGACAGGGCATAAAACACATAACGTTCACATAACCTGGTTATTGAACAAATGTTCACCAATGGGTTAGCACAAACAATGACCCAATATTAATATCGCTCTTTTAAGTGTATCAAAAGCCCAAAGTGACAAAAGTTAATGTTATTGAATTACAGCGCTGGTCCGTATTGGGAGTGGATTTTAGACCCACGACACGCAACGGTTTCAACAGGAGAGGCAAATGTTTAAATGCCATGGAAAGAGAGAAGAGGAATGAAGCACGAAAGAAAGAAAAGCTCTTTCTCTCTCTCTTTCAATATTTCTCGTTTACTCTCTATTTGTTTTTCTTTCTCTTTTAGCCTCCAGCCTCGCGGAAGTTGCAAAGCTCCCTGGTGGATCCATTTGCACTGTTGATCAATACTCAGGTCAAGCAACTCCCAGTAGAAAAAACTGGGAAGAAAAATACTTGTTTTTTTTGTTCTTTGATTAGGAATAACTAGAAATATTGTCACTGACAGAAAATGACCAACTAAAATACACAGAGAAAGGCTGACAGACAGCCAAAATGAAAAAAAATAACCGCAAGACAAATAGACTTACAATGCAGATAAACTGACAGACAGACCCATACACACAGTAACTCACAAAGCGGAAAATTAAATGACACAGTGAAATGAAAGAAGGCAAACAGGCAAACACCAAAACAACGACAAACTCGAAGCCAACAATAAACAGCAGGAAACAAAACATCAGAAGAAAACCGCCCAACAAGAAAATCTATTGACAAACGTCAAGAGAAAACGACATAAACACTAAATTAAAGATAACTACAAATATAAAACAACGAAGAGAAAACATCAAACAGAAAGAAAGACGGACGACGAGACAAGAGAGACAGACAGACAGACACACACACACAGACAGGGAAACAACATTGAGAGTTGCGTTGACCGCTGTAGACCCAGGCAATAACACACACGTAATGGCCAGCCATATATATCCCCCCCGGCGCACGCACAAATAATCCCTCCGCCAACACTACTCACCCACAGACAGCGTGTGATCGTTTAAACGACAAACTTCGCAACCCTGACAGAGATGCAACTATTTTGGTGAGGGTTTTCAAATATACTGAGCCTCTCAACCAATGTAAGGCTATGTGTTGCTTATATTAAAAGTCATGCTCTTTGGTGGAATACATCAGATAATACAATATTGCGTGTTAGACATGCGTGTGGTGGTTGATATGAATTGGCAGTTCACTCTTGGTCTTGTACATTGCAGGACGTAGCTAAGTGTAAATTAGCTGGTGATACATCGATGTGCTTAATATGTAGGAGTTCAGCTATGTCAAATCTCTTATATTCATTTCATCTGTTGTTTATTTCGGTGTCGTTGTCAGGATGTCTCTGGTGATGGTCAGGTTGTGTTCAGAAATTACGTATTATATGAAATACGTAATTGTAATACGAAATACTTGTTGTTTGTCCATTGTCATGAGTCTTGAAATATAATAAATTGTCTTATCTTGCCTTTAAATTGAGTTTGATGGAGCATGTAAATGTAAAGACGACATTCGTTTCTTTTTTTTTAAGACGTTAAATTTGAGGCTAAAGACTATACAATCTACACGTCCAAGGCAGAGCAGCCACCTCACACTACACCCGCTCTTGCAGCTTCCGACGAAGGAGTGTGTTGAACATGATTTTCTATGGACTTCGACAAGACAGTATCTCATCTCGTGTTACATCGCATACTTATATTCAGACCTGACACTGATAATTATATGTTATATATTCACTGACCATTCGTGCATGATCAAGATATTCATCCAGTTGCGTTCTGTGACTCATGTCATCCCTAGTACAAGTGTAAAGTGATTACTAGAGAGCTAATATATCACCCAAGCCAAGAAGGGAAGGGAACTATATCAAGGGAAAGCGCCAAGCCATTACGACTATATAGCACAGGGAAGGGGGTCAATATAAGGATTTGGGACGGGGAGAAAGAATGGTGCCCAATCATCTGGACAGTCGGGGATTAAACGCCGACCTGCAGGAAGCTAGACCGTCGCTCTACCATCCAGCTTAAGCGGTTGGGCCAAAAGAATATAAGATGTATATTAGTGCTCCCTCCACCCCCCCTCGGCCTCTCCTTCTCTGCCCATACTCCCCCAGCTCACACCCTCCCTGCCCAACGTCAAAGTAAACAAAAAGTTGTACCAGAACGTCAGGCTCTAATCTGAACATACGTTCTGAAAATTAATGTTAATTCCCAATAATATAAACACACAGCCAAGTCTACGGACTCGGCGCCGTATATATCACATTCAGTCACTTTGTGACTTGAAGGAGAGGCACCGGGGCCGTACCCTTGAACCATTCAGGTGGGGACTGGGCCGACCCCCATCCCCCATATCTCACTCATGATAAAATCACCATTAATCCTGCCAAAGTTTAACTAAGCCAACCTTAATTGCCTGGTCTCCAACCTCGAGCATTCTCTCTTTATTTATCTCTAAAAGAGAGAATATGTCTATGGGGCTAGGCTCCCTCGAATTGGCAGAGGGAATGGTCTGGGGACCGGGATGAACATAGGCTGGTTAGGGGTCGCCACAATTCCAACGAGAACAGCGTGGCAGGGTCACATTCAGACCCCCACGACAGTTTTCGCCATTGCACGCCAGCCAAATGGCTAAATATTTTCAAAACAAACTTTTGACCAATACAAATTATTTTGGCAATATGTATCGTTATTCACTGATCTCGTGAAAATTAACCTAAATAAATTTCCTTCCAGTAATTTGCCCGTACTTGCATAAAGCGGACGATTCCTCCAACAGCTTCAAAGATTTATGAACCTACCGTCCTTTATCAGAGTAAGGGGTAACTGTGTTTATTTTTAGCACATCATATCCCTATGTTCCTCTCACTGGCGACCACCCACACATTACACAATCACATCTGTACTGTAAGGGAAAATGTCTCTGTCTTTGAAACAAAGGGAGAGACAGGCATAGAGACTGAGATAAAGACAGAACGAGACAGAGACGAAGGAAGAGAGATATAGACAAAGAGATAGAGACATAAAGACAGAGGCAGAAAGAGACATGCAAAGACAGAAACAGATACAGAGAGTTGATGGATGGATGGATGCATAGATTAATAGATAGATAGATAATGGATAGATGAATAGGGAATGGATAGATGAATAGGTAGATGGAAAGATATTTTGTGCAGATTGATAGATAAATGGATAAAGGAGAGGATGGATAGATACATGAATGGAAATATGAATGGATAGATGGACGGAGAGATGATATATATATATATATATATATATATATATATATATATATATATATATATATATATATATATATATATATATATATATATATATGAAACCAACTGAAAACCAGATATCCATGACAACAAAGCTTCGCCAGGGCAGAATTAGAAACTGTGATGGAAGCATTCGGTTGCGTCTGTCGCTGTCTCGGGCCCAAACAGAGCGTGTCTATTACTCTTAATGTCCCTAGACAATGCCCTGGCCGCGACCATCAGACGATCTAATGGAAGCTAATGTTCCAACATGAACCTGGAAGCCTTTTCGGTGTTTCTTACAGTTTTCGAGCGTCTCCGAATGGAAAGGATAAGAAAATGAGGGGAAGTAACGGGGAATAGAGAATTAGGTATAGTCAGTGAAATTTAGATATGTGGAAAATAAAGGTCTGAAAACTTGTTGTTTATTAGGGTGTATATATATATATATATTGCTCGGGACGTCATGAACTTTCCAACGAGGCTTTCAGAAGAAATATGACTAAAAGTGATTAGGCGAATCTTTGAGAATAATGACTTCTAGTATTTACGTTGTTTTTAAATATCACTAACTACACGTTAACATAAATCCCTGCTCGAGAGAGCAACAAATCTCATACGACTTAAAGGGATTTAAAGTTTTTCATCAAAAATTCCATGACCCAAATTTCTTCTGATAATATAATACAAAAGATTAAAGACAGCTTACTTGAACATGAGTGATACCTGAGGTGTTCTAAGACCAACACCATCAACTAGTGTCACTGCAACACCGGGAACTATGAGCCCCAGAAGAGCAGCTTCAGTAGACATAGTAAGATTACCCGGAAGGAAGATATCGTGTACGTGTTAGATAGGAATATTAGACACCCTGGCAGAGAGAAAGAATCACATAAACTTCCCATAAAAGATACTGAAAGACAAATTCCAAACCTGTACAATTAAAAAATAAGTTTCATATACAGGAGTGAGCGATATTGTTGGAAATATCGCTCCATATAAGATTCAACGAGATCTCGGGGTGCAATAAAATTTGAGAACACAAAATAAATTTCAGAGTCCCACAACTTTTCAAGCCCTCAGTAACCAAATTTTAAGAAATTTCGCTTTGAAGCTTAAAAGAAAACTGAATGTTTCACCTGGAGTTGCCAATCTGTCTGGCACTGATAGCTATGTGGGCCTTTGGGCTACGACGGCAAAGCCACACAGAGCTGGCAATCACCAGGCAAGGCTTGCCACTGGCCAGTTTGCAGGAGCAGATGATCTCTGGAAATCAACAACTGGTTCTCGGCAATAATCACAACAAAATCAAATTCAACAGAGCATGGACAAGATGCCGAGAGACAACACAGGATGACAAAACTCTGTAAAACAGATTTTGAGAGACCGAGTTACTTAGGCAGGGTACACTGGCGCACCAGACCAGAGGTGGTGGCCGTCCACGCAATATGAAGTTACTCTGGCAACGGGTGATGTGACACTGGATTATAATGTAATGCAAATTATACAATTATAATCTTTCAAGTTAATACCCATGAACGTACTATATCGCCTAAATCATTAGCTCTAAATTTAATGAAACAAAAGTTTTAACAATTAAATAGAAAATAACATTGGAAACATTAATAAAATACACAAGACTAGAATTCACGAACAAAAATTAGTAATACTAAAAGCTTCACTTTTAGAAAATTAAAGAGAAAGATTATGAAGTTTACATACAAAGCACCGACAAATGCTAAGAGGTTCATTCACATATATCAAACGATCGTTATTGAGAAGATTGATGACAAAGAAACAGGGAAGTAAAATTTTAAATTAGTACTTTGTCTATTTAATAGGAACGGACTAAATATTATACCTATATCTTAACGAATATACAAGTTTAGTGGTGACTCGGAACAAAGTCATTAATCACATTACAAAACTAAAATCTGATAAAAAAAGCCTTACGCCTACATGACAATGGGGCGGAACCTCAAGACCCTAATGAAGGAGGTTTCAAACCTCTGTGATCAATGGAACAAGGGGAGACGCTTTAGCACCCTTATGATCAATGGTAGAGGGATTTTGTACTCAAATGGTCAATGGAGGGGGACTTTTGTACCCCAATGACCAATGGTTTTTCAGCCATATGACATTTGAAGAAGTCTTTGGCACCTGTATGACCAATGAACTCGGCAAACATTTTCTGCATTTGTTTTATGTTTTAAATTACGTTTTAAAAATGTTAACGAAATTTTTAAAATCTTTTATAACGCGAGGCCGTAATGTTTCCGTAGAACGACTTTTTAAGGTTATGATGTAACGTTTAAGAGAAAAAGTTTATTTGTTAATTTTATTCATTACTAATTCGGTTCAAAACATTGAAAAATATAAAATAAATACATAATAAATATGGTACATAAAGAGATAACAATTACGACCATCTCAATTTAATCTTGACTAAATCGAGATGTATTTACAACTTGAAAATATTTTGTCACAATAAAAAATAAGCATTTAAATCAAAATATAATTTAACCAAATTATAAAACAATCTCCAACACAACTGAGACGTGAGACACAGAGACACAATAAAGACAGATAAATGTAGAGACACACTGAGAAGACAAAAAGAGAGAAAGAGACGGAGTTAACGGGATAGTGTGTGAGAATGAGAGAGAGTGAAAGTGTGTGTGTGTGTGTGTGTGTGTGAGAGAGAGAGAGAAAGAAAGTGTTTGAGAGACAGTGAGAGTGAGTGAGAATGAGAGACAGTGAGAGTGAGACAATGAGAATATGCAGAGACAGAGACATACAGAGACAGATGACACAGAAGAGAGAGACACAGATACAGAGTGATGCAGGCAGATACAAAGAGACACACACATGGAAGACACAAAAACAGACAGAGAAAGAAAATGAAACAGAAAGACGGAGAAATACAGAAATAAATACACAGAGAAGATAAAAATGAGAGACACAAAGAGTGTCAAAGACAGCAACAGAGACAGAAACACAGAAAGCACACAAAATGTGACACACAAGACAGACAAACACAGAGACAGAATATGACAGGCAAAGGACCGACACTGTTGGCTGACTGTTTTAAGTGACGCGCCCGTCAACACAGCTGACGCAGAAGCAACTGTAGCTACATCTGTATTTGCCTCACCATCCTAAAAATAAAGAAATAATTATTTACTGCAGGTAATTTTTTCATTAATTTCAAAATAATAATGAAAATAAAATAATAATATTTGCAGATTGTAACCTCAAATAATGTACATATATATGCTTAAGTCTATAATAACAATAATATTATTACCCAGAGAGCAATTACACTAACCTGATGTGTCAATGAGAAAATCCTTGAAGCCTGGTTTTCTGGGGTGTGTGCCTGGGAATACTCAGCACACAGGTTCGAGTCCTCATCACGGTGCCTACAGATTATCTCATTATTAATAATAAATAAACTAACAATTATAAAAATCAAATAATATAACACTGGGTGAGTGGGAAGTGGTGTAGGCAGGGTGGAGTGGAGTGGTTAGTGCAGTGGGTGGTAGTGGGTGGGCAGTGGGCAGTGCAGTGAGTGGGTGAAGTGGGCAGTAGTGGGTGGTAGTGGGTGGAGTGGGCAGTGGGGGTGGTAGTGGGTGGAGTGGGCAGTGCAGTGGGTGGAGTGGGCAGTGGGCAGTGCAGTGGGTGGTAGTGGGGGTGGAGGAGTGAGCAGTGGGTGGAGGAGTGGGCAGTGCAGGGGGTGATAGTGGGTGGAGAAGTGGGCAGAGCAGATATGTTGGCGGCTGCTTCGATGTTGGCGAGACTGCAGGGAGAGTGGACTAAAGCAGTACATGCTCTGATATATTCACATTATGGACATGCAACATTGAGAGAATATGTGGAATATATGTAGTGAATATAGGGATAGTGGTGGGGTAAATTAACCAAATATAAATAAGAACTTAACTGGAAACAGAGGAGTAGTCTTGATGTGTTGCCTTCGTTGGTTCGTTTAATATTCTTGTTCTCTTGTAAGGAGTTTTGGACAGTTGGAATCCACACAATCAAATTGTATTCTGTGAATCTTCATTGAACATTGAATTCTTCACAATGAACAATACACAGGGAATTATATAAAAACATAAGAAATAGGAACGTACCTTATAAGATGAAGAGCGATGTCCCACGAGGAGCTGTTAAGGGTTTCACTTACCTGCAATGATAAGAAAGAGAAATTATTAATTTGTTGCACTGAAACACATTAATGCATGTCAATTCTAATACACAACAAATACAACACAACGACTAAATATATATATATATATATATATATATATATATATATATATATATATATATATATATATATATATATATATATATATATATATATATATATATATATATATATATATATATATATATAAACTAGCATCAGTAAATGTATATAAAGTATAAAGTTGCCACTTAAGGGTCGAGAAATTGCTTACCTTACTCGGACGGTAAAGTTTACGCGGGGTGGGGGGGGGGGGGGGGGACGGTGGTCCCTCGTCCAGTGAGGTCAGACTAGGGCATTGTAAACTGCCGCTCCTCGACTGCTTGTTTCCGGCCTGACAGTAAACTCTCCTGACTCAGCAGTCAACTACAGAGGCAGCGGCGCCTCGGGCCAAAGTTATTCACTAATTCCTCAATAATCACTAATATACACACTTCACTTTTAGTCTTTTCTATGAAAAAAAACGAACATATAATGTACACACGATCTTCACAGCACTTTAGTAATGTACACACGCTCTACACAGCACTTTAGTAATGTACACACGCTCTACACAGCACTTTAGTAATGTACACACGCTCTACACAGCACTTTAGTAATGTACACACGCTCTACACAGCACTTTAGTAATGTACACATAACAAAATTGCTTTATCACGCAGACTTCGTCACAACAAAACCACCACGAGCCACAGCTAACAACTAAATGACCTAACCATCCGGGACAAAGATTTGAGAATCCTTCGTTCGAGTTCCGAATGAAACTGCTCATACACTCACTCGAAGCCAAGTGATGTTTCATCTCAACTTATCCTCAAAGCATTGACCAAGTGCTATGTTCTCCTCCTGCGCTTAAACTGCGCTTATCTGGGTCCTTCGTCTATGTTCTTTAAATACAAACAGTTTAATGTATCGCTAATATCATGTGGGTGGTGTTGACCCTTCCTGCGAGTGAGTGAGGGAGCCTTTGTACACAGTTGACAGTTGATATTATTTCCAGACTTTGTCTTCCTTGGTCGAGCGACTACAGTCTCGGGCTGCATATATAAACGAGTACAAACACAACCTAAATAGCTGGCACAGTGCATGGGAGATAATGAGTACTACGAGGTCGAGTGAAGCTTGGACGAGCGTCGTCTGTGAATATATTACCAAGTGCTCGGTAGTCTAACAGCTCCACTATTAACAAGCATTTGGCAGAACCATCCTCTCGCCGTGTTCGTCCAGGATGAGGTCGAAGCCGAAGATGCATTTGTTCGTTTTGACTATAAACGCAATTTTCTCGAACGTTAATTGACATTATTATATGTTATAGTTTTGTGTATGATTGAGCCTGGTTGGGAGAGGTGATGGCAGTTGCTTGTGTTTGTGGATTGTGAGTAAGGTGCTTGGAGAGGGAAGGGTTCGAACACGGGAGGGTGGCGGAATATTGTGGACGAGAGGTTCCAACTAGTCAGTTGAGAGTCCTGGATGATGTTTAGGGTAAAACATCGCCTATCAACCGCGGGAGAGTTAATAAGGTTAACACAATATATTAGTGATTAACCAGCAGGTATACTTCAGTCCTAAACATATTTTAGGACTACATTAGTCCTAAATATGTTGAAGATGGGTACAATTATCGCTGAATATATCCCTGAGTATGAGTTTCCATTCCTGCTAACTCATTCTCCTAATAAAGCGTCGCATTTTGACGCATACTTTACCTAAAGCCAACAATCGACGTAGTATAAAATGACAGCGACTCGACTCGCAACATTGACATACTGTTCTTTTTCTGTATTGGGTCCTTTGGTAGGTTAGGACAGGGCATTTTAAAACGACAGTTTCTTGACGTTAGGAAACCTTAGGATGTACAGGCTACTTAGGCACAAGATTGGCAGGTGGACTGGCTAGCGTTTAAACCACCTTAGCGAGGATTCAAGAAGCATTTACGTATCTACATACGAACGTGTACATCTCTCAATCACTATCGGCTTTGTTTACTTCTATTGAACAGTTTACAGTCATGAAAACTTCCCAATCAAATATTATTGTTATGAACAGCCCCCTAGTGCTTCTGAGATTATAAACTGTTTAATAAACGTAAACAAAGCCTCATAAAACTGAGAAACGATATACAGGTTCGTAAGTACTCGCATAACTGCTTGATGAATCCGGATATTTGGCTAATGGTTTAAGGATTGGCTGACGTAAGTGAACCATTTAGAAAATTGTTATCTGGAAATATGCAAGGAGAATTCGAAATAAAGCTTTCTTCTTAGTATTTTTATATGATCAAAATGAAACAAATATCATGATTACGTTGCAGAACTTTGCAATTTGAGGACAGTTCGTGATCTTAGGAAAACGACGACAAAGAGATCAACCAAATATAGACTCCTGTTTGAATTAGAACGCGTTAAAACGTCACCTGTGTGGGTGAGAATTTTACGTAGAATTGAACAGCAAAATTCGCAAACTGGATTATTTCTGAAATGTGTGTGTCTGGAGAGGATGAACGATGGCCGGTGCACTCCACACCCTAGTGAAAGACGGTGAAAGACCTCATCAATAATGCAGTCTTATGTATTTCAAATTGTGAAAGAGCTTTGGGGGTCATGGGAAGCATCGGTCTGAGGCCGAGAGAGCAATGCATCACTGCTTGGAAAATAGAGAGAGAGAGAGAGAGAGAGAGAGAGAGAGAGAGAGAGAGAGAGAGAGAGAGAGAGAGAGAGAGAGAAAGAGACAGTGGGACGGAGGGAGAGAAAGGAGGTAGGATAATTATCACAAGAAAACACTAAGCCACAACGACTATATAGTAAGTGAAAAGGGAATGGGTGGAGACGGGGGAGAGAGGAAGAGACCTTAAGATATTGAAAGAAAGATGAAATAGGAGAAAGAGAGACTGACTGAAAGGGATAAAAGAGAAAGACAAAGAATGGAGAGAGGAGTCATTCAACGTCCCCAAGCCATCTCAGCAAACTCTCATCATTCTTTCAGTGTACTGATATTGAATTTTTTGTATTCAGTCCTAGCTGTACAATTTATAAACCTCACTAAGAATTTATTGTTCTCGCTCATACCACACCATCGTCACGCAGCGAGACAGAAGAGTTTTGCCACCATGTATAAAAATAGGTTTTAAGAGGTCAAAGCAATAACTCTCTAATGTGCAAATCACGTCTTATCCAAAATGTGAATTATAACACTGGAAAATACAAGTTCAACTGCCTTCCAATATCTTATATATCAGGAAATGTTGTAATACAGTGGAGGAATAACGCTAACATTATGCGGACACCACTAACAGACACTCGCCATGCATTTGTTAACGTTCAGGTTCCTGAAATACACCAAATATTTGCTGGTTTTCGAGCATATTTATCTGTGGGCATTTGTCAGGACGCTTCGCTATAGATAAAGGGAAAATTTGGTATTCAGAATTTAGTGCGTGTATTTTTTTGTTTACTTGTTAGCCTGCTTGATTGCCTGTCTTTTTTGTCAATGTCTCTTCTATTTCTCTCTTACTTTCCCCAATATCTCTCTCTCTCTCTCTCTCTCTCTCTCTCTCTCTCTCTCTCTCTCTCTCTCTCTCTCTCTCTCTCTCTCTCCCTCCCTCTCCCTCTTTCAGTAGCATAAACACAGTAACTAAGAAATTCAAGAGAATTTCAACAATTTATACATAACAATGACCAGAGAGAAAAAAGAGAACTAAGCTAAAACAAAAGAAAATACATTTATCTGTAAGTCTTGGGCCCCTTTGCCACCCACCGTCATATCAAACAACGTGACAGCACCTCTGTGCTCTTCGTTGCAAATTCCTCCACTTCCTCTGTTCATGCCCCGGAAGCAACACTGCAATCATAAATTATAAAGAGGACGAGGAGGAGGCTTTGGTATGCGGTACATAATTGCTAGGTCAATTGATATTCAAATGCACCAGTGCATCGCCGCATACATATCAACTTCAGAAAGGCCTTTCTCATGCTGATATTATTCAGTAAATTTCAGGAATTCGACTCATGTACCAGAATCAACCACAGCTGCTAGAGAGGAATTGTCTAATTATCTGTATAACCTTCACCTTTGGACAGACATAGACATTCTCTCTTAAAGTGCATACTATAAGAGAAAAAGTCTGAGTGTTGGTTTATTTATCTGTGTGGATGTCGGATGTCAGATGCTTGCCTCTCACAAATTTGCAGGAGGAATGGGCTGGGGTACGGGACGGACATAGGCCAGTCCGGGTAGGCCGGCCGAAGTTAAATGCTTTTAGAAATATGAGCCTGTAACCCTACCCCACGTTCGATTTTCTTGAAGTTTGAAATGGAAATGTCATGAAATCGGGATGTAATATTTATATGTATTATGACTTACTCGAAAACGATGAATATGGATCAGTATAATTAACATTAATATTCATGAGATGAAGAGGTATATATTTCTGTATATATCTATATAAAGATATATATATATATATATATATATATATATATATATATATATATATATATATATATATATATATGTATATATATATATATATATATATATATATATATATATATATATATATATATATATATATATATATATATATATATATATATATATATATACAGATCTATGTATGCGGAAAATCCACAGAGAAATGGGAAAGAGAGATGAACGTTTCGGCCGATCTGGACCTTTGTCAACACCGGACTGAAAGAAATCAAAGGAAGAGTGGAGGCAGACACTAAATCCTGACCACCATCTCCTTGGGGAAGAATTAACCAGAAAAAGATGTAGATTAGCTTAGAGTGGTCAGAAGGATTTAAGCGGTAAGAATAAATGATTAAAGAAAAAGCCCCATTGAACCTACATAAAATATTAATATAATATTGTTATGAGACAATGTAACTCTCCCTATCATAGGTTTTTCTTAAACTGTTGTGCAACATTGTAACTTAAAACTGAGCCAAGTTTGTACATACCAGTACTAACATTGAGAATATCAGTTTGTACTAGCTCTATCTATAAATCACTCAGAATGTTTGTAATTCTGCATCTATGTATGTACTTTTCATAAAATAAAATATTATTAATATTATTATTATTATTATTATTATTATTATTATTATTTCCCAGAATTAAATTAGGGAGAATGTATCTTTTTTCAGTTTTGTCTGTATGTCTAAAGATAGAAGTCATACCCTTGAAGCTAGTTTTGATGGGTAGTAATGTACCCATGGATGGTTAGATGATCTGGGGTATGTGACGGGTATACAGGCTGGTCGGGGTAGCAGGGATTAAGGTCATCTCAGCCAGATCAGTCAGGTCAGTGCTGAGATAATGTTGGCACCAATCAGGCACGCCCGAAGACCATATCTGCCATAATCAAGCAAGCCTGGAGACTACCTTTGCCACAGTAAAGGCAAACCTGGAGAGTATTGCTGACACTCAGGTACGACTGGATATCATTTGCCACAGTCAGAATACGACCGAAGATAATTTTCGCTGCAGTCAGGTACGACAGTTTCCACGCGAGTCAGAGTTGGCAGCGGGTGCAGTTTTCAGTCTGAGGAACACGATATCGATTCCATTTGAGTCATGTCATCCTCATTAATGAGCGCCAGCTCTTATTTTTATGACGAGTAACCCAGCGAGGCCAACGTTGGGCAGTGACTGTGACGGGCCCGGTGTGTTGGTGGCTGTGATGGATGTGCAGTGTTGGACAGTAGCAGTGGAGGATCTGGCGAGTTAGACACTGTGAAGGGTGCAGTGTTGGACAGTAGCAGTGGAGGATCTGGTCAGTTAGACACTGTGAAGGGTGCAGTGTTGGACAGTAGCAGTGGAGGATCTGGCGAGTTAGACACTGTGAAGGGTGCAGTGTTGGACAGTAGCAGTGGAGGATCTGGCGAGTTAGACACTGTGAAGGGTGCAGTGTTGGACAGTAGCAGTGGAGGATTTGGTGAGTTAGACACTGCGAAGGGTGCAGTGTTGGAAAGTAGCAGTGGAGGATCTGGCGAGTTAGACACTGTGAAGGGTGCAGTGATGGACAGTGGCAGTGGAGGATATGGTGAGTTAGACACTGTGAAGAGTGCAGTGTTGGACAGTGGCAGTGGAGGATTTGGTGAGTTAGACACTGTGAAGGGTGCAGTGTTGGAAAGTAGCAGTGGAGGATCTGGTGAGTTAGACACTGTGAAGAGTGCAGTGTTGGACAGTCGCAGTGGAGGATCTGGCGAGTTAGACACTGTGAAGAGTGCAGTGTTGGACAGTAGCAGTGGAGGATATGGTGAGTTAGACACTGTGAAGAGTGCAGTGTTGGACAGTAGCAGTGGAGGATATGGTGAGTTAGACACTGTGAAGAGTGCAGTGTTGGACAGTCGCAGTGGAGGATCTGGCGAGTTAGACACTGTGAAGAGTGCAGTGTTGGACAGTCGCAGTGGAGGATCTGACAAGTTAGACACTGTGAAGAGTGCAGTGTTGGACAGTCGCAGTGGAGGATCTGGCGAGTTAGACACTGTGAAGAGTGCAGTGATGGACAGTGGCAGTGGAGGGACAAGAGTGATGGTAGACATTAGTTTTTGTGACACGATAATTTTCCAAAAAATAACTTGTAGATATATTGGTATATTTACCTGAGTGAGGTAAAAAAGGTCACATTCATCTTAGATTAATGAAGGAGATTTAATAAAGCCTTTATAGCAAAAAGTCACGTTAAATAAAATAATAGCAATATGCGTTTCCTGTAAATTATTGCCCAAACACTTTTTTTTCTCAGCTTTTCTAAGTTTTTCACACTCTACACTTTCTGCATATCAACCTACACATGTTTTTTTCTCTCTCTGCATGTTCATCATCTTTTCTATTAACCTATTCATTTATTCACCGCTATGCTGAATATAGAGAGATTCCATTCATCTGTGATAATAAAGCAGAGGTGTCTACCCTAAAGAAAACACATTAAAGTTAACTAAATACACATCTTTGGCTTCTTTGATGGAAAAATATTCAAATCTGATAGTAGTGAAGAACTTTATCTCCAGCTCAATTTTCCGCTCCATTACCTCTCTGTGTACTCGCCAAGAGTTCTTGTGGGAATTAAGCGTGCGACGCTAATATGTGTTTTACTGTTTTCTTCTTGGGCGTCTTAGATAATATATATATATATATATATATATATATATATATATATATATATATATATATATATATATATATATATATTTTTCAGTTGCATATTGTCCTGGGGACCATTCAGGCTTGTTCGCATATATATATATATATATATATATATATATATATATATATATATATATATATATATATATATATATATATATATATATTGGTTAATATGTAACAGCAAGAAACTAAAGAAATCAAACAAAATCTTGAGAGTCGTCTTGACGACCGACACACAAAGTTGAGAGAAGAAAGTGGAGAATTAGAGAGAGTGGGAGATGTGGTTTGACGAAAACTCGTGTTGGAGCAAGACTTTAAGTTCCGTAGCGTGATGTATTATTGAGCTCTCTTGGGGGAAGGTCTCCTCTCTTAGGGAGGATGTCAGCCCCGTCTCTAATGTTTTCTCAAGACGTTTTCACTCACATTTGGACATTTCAAAGTTCTTTCAATGAGAAATAAGCAAGAAATTGCATTTTCATGCTGCCATTGTAACTTGTCAGATGTTATTTGTTTCACTTGGTTAAATGGTATTTTTAGCTTTTAAGTGATGAAATTCTAACTTGTTTTATTCTCTCTCTCTGTCTGTCTCTCTCTCTCTCTCTCTCTCTCTCTCTCTCTCTCTCTCTCTCTCTCTCTCTCTCTCTCTCTCTCTCCTCTCTCTCTCTCTCTCTCTCTCTCTCTCTCTCTCTCTCTCTCGCTCCATTTATATATAAAACCTTGATACATTGGAATTGCATTGTTATAATGAATATTCTGAAGTAAGAGCTGTTAGCTTACGTCAACTTTGCCTTTCTCTGACGCCTCTTCTCTCATTCTCCCTTCGTTTTTCTTTCCTCTTATAATTTCGTCTTACTACCCCACTTGTCTCTCTCATTTTTCCTTCACCCATTCTCTCTCTCTCCCCCTCTCTATCCACATTCTTTTTACGCTCTTACTGCTATCCTTCTTACCTTCTCTCTCCTCTTTCTCTGTGCATTTGTCTCTTCCCCTTCTTTGCTCACCCTCATCCAGTCTTCCATTCCTCAGACCCACTATACTTTCTGTCACTATCCTTTACTGTTTCCACTTTTCTCTTCGCTCCAACTCTCTCCATTTCACTCTCTGTCCTTCTTTCTATGGGGATATTCTTTCTCTCTTCCATCTTCTCTTTCTCCCTCTTTTCCATAATTCCTCTTCTCCTTCTCTCTCTCTCCTCTTCGTCCAATATATACCTTGAGCTCTACCACCATGCCAACACATGACTTATGCAAGCCGACTTATGCAACAATATACCAAACTATCGTGCAAGATAGTGTCCAACATGCGCCGTTGCAAGGTACGAGAGTTTGTCTTGTGTTTCATGGGGGGAACAGCTGCCCGAAGTTCTAAGAACCAATAAAACGGACACATTGGGGCATTAATAACGTTTTCTTCTAATGAGAGTGATTTTTAACATTGCTTTTGATTGTCTTAATCTACTCGAAGCCGAGTAGGTTAAGGAAGGTGTCTGGGAACCCCCAGAACTTGGGTTCAAGTCACTCCATTGCCTCAAAATGATTTTTATTATCATGATTTTTTTTTTGTTATTATTATTATTCCTAATGAAGAAAATTACTAAATACCGCAGTGTTTAAATGATGTTAAAAAAAGACATAATATATGTGTAAGTGTATTATTAAACCGGATTTACGGATGAACCTATATAATTTATATAGTAAACTGTAGAGTGCTGTAAACATCTGTTTAAATCACCTTGAAAAAAAGTTCATCCAAAAATTCCGTTTAATAATTCACTTACTGATTTATTACGTCCTTTCTTTACCTTCATT